TTTCTACAGCTGAGAAAATATCGAAAGAAAAAAAAATAACCAAACATCAGAAAAATATTTGATTTAAAATGAACAAAAATATTAAAAAATATTTATAACTGGTTATAAAGATTTAAAAACGCGCGCGCTGCTGGTTGTGGATGCCAACGCAAATTCAAATCAAAACTCTATTTTTAAGAAATGTTGATTCGAGAACACAAAAAATAATACTTAAACCTCTATAAATTGAAAACAGATTTCGCAATATTTTTTTATACTAAACAAGAGAACACTTGTGCAGTTTTTGGTTAGAAGTTGCATACTTACGTTTAATATAAATTGTTATACCGTGCTGGCAACTGTTACTTTTGGGTCGGCATTTACATGTGTGGAAGTAAATCGCATAGGGATCTTATTAAGTCAGAGTGAGAGAAATGCGACCGACAGACGCGACGCGCGACGGTGTGCTGTTGCGGCTGTTCCCTATCAAGTAAAGTAAAATCACGATCGCAAACCGCTTATTTTTAAAAGACTTTTTTTAAGAGATAACTAGATAAAATCATTAGACATGTTTCTGAGCATCTGAAATTGAATTATAAGGATATCGTTAGGGTGTCATTTTTTTATAACGAGAAAACGTCAGTAATCGCGATAATTTAAAAACTTTTTAATAATTTAAAAACTTTTTAACACATAACAGGCTATTACTCAAGAACCACTTTAGATATTGATGCCCACTTGCACCGTTTCTATAAACTTTGTTTAAAGGCTAAACAGTGATTAACTATAATAAAATATGTATAGTTAATCACTGTTTAGCCTTTAAAGAAAGTTTATACAAACGGTGCAAGTGGGCATGAAACTTTTTTTTATTTTTAAGATCGGATATTTTACACTATGTTTACATAAGAAAAATTCGATAAGGTTGTTTTTTCCATTCAAAAATTGTAAATAATCCATCCATTTACTTTTAGAGCATAGCAATTTTCAGCAATCGTGTAATTTTTTTATTGATAAAGACACAAAAAACATACTGTCTACAAAGAAAATACAGCAGAAATATTAACAAAGTTCTTGAAAAAACTACAATCTATTATTTCTAATAAATTTCGAGATATCGATTTTTGAATTCCGAGTTCTAATAGCGCGACCACTATCGAACATCCACTCAATTCCACTTATTTTTACCAAAAATGCAAGTGTTTCTAGCTTACACTTAAAAAAATTCAAGCTATAGGGAAAATTACAACGTTAATAATTTACGTTAATAAATAAACAAATTAAGTATCACGAGACGTAATTAAATCGTGAAGCTGAACGCATGACGTACACCTTTCCCTAGAATTTTAAGTACTGACAGAGGTATTGATTGGGTCGACCGGTCAACTGCGACAAATCTGCTATATCCCACGTATTCCACGTCTCTTAGCGATGTGCACAGTTTCGCGGTTTATTTCATACGTTTGGCAACGTGTTTACTGTCCTCTCTTTGTTCAGGACATTATAAACGCATTGTACTCTTCTTACATACGGATATCTCGACCCAAGACTAAAAAAAAACCTTTGCCAGCCCTTAGTATTAGTACTACACACGCAATAGTATATCAAACTACTTTGTACAAAAGTTGCTTTTCGTTATCTAATGTTATTGTATAAAAAAATCTAAAAACAGACTGATTTATTTCATAAAATAGTGACAAATAATGTTTCTGTATTCAGCACGTTTACTATAATAAAATAATGTACTATTTTATTATTTGTCGAAATTCCCGAGAGGTAATATGTGTGTTCTCGATGAATTACAAATACATATTATACTAAATTAACTTAACTGATTCACTATAATTATAGCATATTAGGAAGGTTATGTTGAAAAAGAATAAATATAGATATATTATCCATTATTTAATTAAGTTCTTACTAGAGTTAAATAAAGGAATTTTAATATAAGAAGTTTAAATATAATACCATGGTGATGGATATTTAATGGACTTAATATTGAGGTAATCAAATGCGCAATAAATTTGTAGGTTTACTACCAACCTATCCTTTACTTTATATCATCGAAATTATAGAGACATTTTACGATAATACACAAATTAATTAGGTACCGGGTGGCCAACTAAGAATAAGGACGAATAAATAAATAAATAAATAAATAAATAAATAAATAAATAAATGCCTTTATTGTCAAAAAATTTTTCAATTTGTGGACAAAGGTAAACTAACAAACAAAGTAAAAAAAACAAGGTACACAAACAAACAAACAAAAGATAATACAAAACATTATACAAATAATATTGTCAGTCTTATTGTCAAAAAAAAACATATATAAATGTTTACAATGTCAAAGAACAAAAAAAATTAAAATAATATTCAAAAATATTTAGCCAGTTTATAGCAAAATATCAATGACCTCTAAATAAATTAATTTCGATGTCATTAGTAAATATAGCAATAGCAAACATTAGACCAGTGTTTTCAAGATCAAATTCGATTTTCAATTCAAATATAATTCATTTACGGCGTAGAAAGCCTTGTCTAGTAAATAAGAGTTCAATGCTTTGCGAAATGAAAAAAATGATGTTATGGATTTGATTTCAAATGGCAGGTGATTGTGCATTTTTTTCGAGTTGTATAATATTGAACTTTTAACTAACTCTGAGCGTGGGGTAGGTAGATAAAGATCTAGTGGATAAGAGTGGATAAGTGTGAGATGGCCTTTCTTGAGAAGCTGATACATGTTTACGTATTAGATTCTTTGGTATTAGGCAAACGGATTCAAATATAAATAAGGAAGGAACGAAGAAGATAAGGACGCCAGATGTATCTCAGAAACTAGTTATCGTATAACTTTGGGAAAAAATTCTAATAAGTAAATCAACCAAGAGAAATCACTGGAAATTATTTTCAAGTTTGGAAAAGATCCGCTAGGGGGCGTTTCTCTGATAGCCAATCAGGAAACAGGATTTTTCTCAAAAATATGCAGGTGAACAGGTATTTTAAATATTACTATTGTAATCATCAAGAAATTTGTAATTTTTTTGATATAGAGTATTTGGCTCTATCTCATAAAATTAAGTGGTGGGGGAACGTTAAACTTGCTTTTATTAAAATAAGGATAACTCTGGTTCGGGTTACCTGATTTAAACAAACTAGGGCTCGTTTAAAAAAGCATTTCTTCCTTGATGAGTATTATTCTCCAGTATAAATTTTGTTTCCACACTTTTTTTCGTGGTAGCTAGAGTGCGCTGTTTGACATCATAACAGATATTGTGTTTTTGCATAAAAAATTTAAATAGGAGGCTATATTTCTCTTTGCACAGTTAAATAGAGCACAAAATTTCCAAAATATCAGCGCAAACCGCAACTTTCTATCTTCTCTCTAACCGGACATATTAGGAGAATAAATCATGTTAGGCTGCCGCTTAGGATTATATGGTCTAAAAATTATAATAGTGGGCTAGGAAAAAAAAAGAGGCAAATTGGTTACGTCAAAATATTAAAACATATATTTTAATTTCATTTTAATACCATTTAATTGTTATGATGAGAGAAACATCATATTATTTCAAACTTGAAAATAATTTCCAGCGATTTCTCTTGGTCGATTTACTTATTAGAATTTTTTTCCCAAAGTTATACGATAAGTAGTTTCTGAGATACAGCCGGCGTCCATTCTTAGTTGGCCACGCGGTAGGGGAAGTCCGGGCAAAGTGAATAGCTTAAGATGTTCACTCTTTCATCAGAAAAGGTGTAAGAGATAGAAACAAAACAAATATCTGAAATAATTCTTTATTAATTGCTTTTATATATATTATAGTTATTTAACTTTATAAGTAAAGTATTTAGTAAACATAAACAAAATTAAAAAAAGAGTGATAATATTCACTTTATCCAAAAAAATCCTTTATGGGTTTTTCACAAATCTAAGATTTGTCAGCATTCATGGGACACAGGGCACAGAATAAATTTTAATAACGCCAAAATTATAATGAAAGAAGCGATAGCCTCTAAAAGAAAAATAAAAGAGGCTTTTTTAATTCAATCTAATAAAAATAAATGTATTGCTCATGCATCTGTAGATGTTAGTAATGTATGGCAATCGCTTCTTTGATTTTAAAGAACATAACATAAATAAACATAACATACGTAAAATTTAAAAATAATCATACAGAAAGTTCGGGCTTTTTGGTTTTACCTTATTAAGTAATTGTTATCAGGTAGTAATTGTTAATTTTGAAGTTTAACTTAATATAATGTCATTTTAACAGAACGTCAACGATTTCTTGTAGACGTATCTGTTTTAAAAAGTAAAGTGTTCTCGAATAGTTCAATTTAAGTATTTTAAATAGTTTTTTTTGTGGCGAAAAAACCATAAAGGATTTTTTTGGATAGATGAATCCGCCACATAGGTATAGACATTTTTTAATATTCACTTTGCCCGGACCCCCGGGTAAAGTGGATTCGGGCAAAGTGAATACCATCATCTAATTACAGAAAAATTTAATAAAACAAAATCAATAAACTTAACAAAATCTTAAATTCGCATTTAAATGAAATATTTTAAAAATTAAAAAAATGACAGTTATCACAAATATAATCTCATATGCCTTCGAAAGCGGAACATTCTTCGTGACACCATTTGAAAGACCGACCACACAGCGAATCCAATCTTCAATTGGAAAATCATCTTCTTCAATATATATTTCACCGCAAAAAAAAACATACAATATCTTCAAATTTCCTAATGTTCTTTGGTTGTTTACCTTTTTTAACAGGGTTTTAGCAGTCTTTCTAGGAAATTTGTTTAATTTGCTTTTGCTCTTCTTTGATAGGAGTACTAGTTAAAACTTCTGATTTATGAAATTTGCGTTTACGAGTTGTGAGTGGTTTATAAGGGTTTGGTATTGGTCTTAATGATACTCTGGTGAAAGTTTGAACATCCAGGTTCCGGATTCGGTGGAGAGTCGTCACGGTCGTTATTTCTGCGAAAGTCTCTGGTACCATTGCATCACCTTTTAGAGAATGTACAACACGAATACTTGTCGCATTCGGTTCCAAAGTAGAAGAAACTTTAAGCGACTCAATGTCACTCTAAATATTTTTTTTTCTGGGGTGCTTTCTTGAAGTTGAGGCTTAGATGAGTTGCTCTCTGTGGGTTTGTCTGGACGCGGAATCGTTTCTCCTGAAGGATCAACTGTTAAAATCTTTTCTTGTAAATGTGAGGGCAAAGGGGTTGAAGAGGCTTCTGCAGCGGTATCAGGAATTTCTATTGTTTGTAAGAAATGTATGCTTACTCGGCTAATATTCATATCTGATCTGCCCGCAATCACATCCGCTGGTTCAAAGTCTTCTTCACCAAAAACGTGTTTGTTTACTGGCCAAATGCCAGGCCGTTCAAATCCATGAACTGCATTCATGGCTACTGAACTTTTCAGAAAGGCTGGTGATAACAGTCTGGCCACGTCGTATTGATTTATAATTCGCCCAGGATGAGCCTTTTGGAACACATTAACCTCTCGTTCAAAGTAGGTATTTAGTGGGCCGTAAACGACCACATCCATAGGCTGCATTTTATGAGTAGTATGCGGGGCCAGGGATAAAATTATAGCATTATTCTTACTTGCATATTCCAATGCAGGATAGTATTTGTGGCTCTCATGGTTGTCCAAAAGTAAAAGTACCTTTTTGTCGGCGTTAGGTCGTGTATATTCTACAATGAAATGCAACCAAGCAAGAAATACCTCACCTGAAGTCCAACCATTTGGTGTACAAGTTGTACTCAAACCTTGAGTTCCGGAAGGAGCACCGTCGAGTAGCCTAGACTGCATCTTCTTTCTGGCGAAAACAAGGAAGGGCGGTAAAAATGAACCAGCGGCATTGCAACAACCGATCATTGTCGTTAATTGACCACGCTCCGCACTTGCAATTATGCCTACATGTTTCTTTCCTTTTATTGATAGTACTTTAGGGGGTTTTTTAGTTGTCGTCGAAATACCGGTTTCGTCCATATTATAAAATCTAGATGCGTCAATATTGTATTCATTAATCAAAGATTCAAGATTATCATAGAAACGTCCGACTTCATGTCTGTTGAATCATTTCGCTCTTGCAACCGATGTTGCCTCTGGAGTCCTGAGAGTAATGGCATTGTGACGTGACAAAAATGATTGTAGCCAATCATCTCCGGCTTTTTCATACTTGTCCCAACTTTTTGGATAATTCAAATTATTTTTTTTGGCGTAGGTATATCCTAAATTCTTAAACTCATCTCGAGTTAATCCAAAAAACACGGAATCCATGTCTTTGAGATAGGTCCTTAACTCTATTTCCTGATTTTCGCTGAAAACTGGACGGAATCTGCCGAGTTTTGGAGTAACGTTACCACTTTTGACTTGTCTGTACAAAGTCGCATAAGCCAAACCATATTTCTTAGCTGTGCTTCACCGATTCTCCGGCCTTGCATAAATTTATTGCCGTCCGCATAACTTCTTTATCCCAAGAGCCTTGGTTGGTCTTTTTTTTTATTTATGCACCATCTGCAACAAAATATGAGCGTTGTAATACCGAAACTAAATAATCGTAAAAACCGGGCAAAGTGGATACCATATCCGCTTTGCCCTATTCACTTTGCCCAGCACAACCATTTTTAAGGTTAAGTCAATTCATACGAAAACTATTGATTTCAATTCTCTGTTCAACATATTATAATAAAGCTCTTTGACACGTAATAGAACTGTAATACGCCCAATAGTAATAAACAAATAATACAGAAAATATCAAAATACTTACCTCGAAATATTAGAAATTATTTTTCGAAAACACACTTTGCCGTTCTGCGGACGCCGTGTGGCCTGGTGTCCCACTTAAGTGTTTGCCGCGTATTGAGCAAAGACAGACGAGCGTTGCTATGTCACGTGATTGATGCCAAAGGAATAGTTTGAGAATAGTGGGGGATATTTGCTTTGCCCGGAGTGTTCACTTTACCCGGGCTTCCCCTACATACTTTTATAATTACATCTATAATTATATGGTCTAGAATGCTGTACACATTGAACTCTACCTAGATATATACAAAAGAACATCTACAAAAAATATAGGTATAGCGATTTGACTAGGTCCTTGGTACTCATGAGACTTACAGGTTATACTGAAAAAGATAAAATGAAGATGTAATATCTAATTGGGGTCTGGTTCTAACGTAGTTTCGTAACTAAAAGTTAAATATTGAAATTATGAAATAAGAAAAACAAAATGCCATGAAGCCACTTAGCTAATAGACTTTGTATTTGAGGTTATAAACTGCGGAAACAATGTGTTAGTTTACTACCCATCCATCCCTTGCTTTATCATGTCTATATTAAAGAGAAAATTTACGATAATAAACGAAGACAATTGTTTAGCGAATGAATGACAAAAAGGGATCAATGACGAGCGACACATTGAACATTAAAACGTATAATACTAGGAACGACTCAGAAAATCACTAAAAGCAACCGATGATAATATTATTTAGTCAATATTATATTTGCCAGCACAAATTTTACGAGAGTTCTGTTCATAAATTAAAAAGAAATATTAATATAATTTAAATTATAAATAAATTAAAAGTTTAATAAAAAAGATTAAGTATAAATAAAATATGGCTTTTTATAAACGTAACTAGCGTTATAGTTATAGAGAGTTTATTATGGAACTAGTTTGAATAGAAACTCTTGGAGTTTGGATGGACAAAAATTTAAAAATAAATCCCCAATTTTGACCAACGATAATACCCAGCTAACAATTACATATTCTATAAAAATCGTAAAAACATTTCCAATGTTTGTTCTATATAAGAACATTTTCAAAGCGTTGTAAGAACACTTATCATGGAAATGGGCACCATCTTCTAGAAGTTTTTAGTGCTTAAGCTGTTCTCTAAGAACTGAAATAATCATTTATAGAAATATTGCATAAACGTTCTAATAGGTCCTAAAGAATATTTATAACACATTTACAACGCAACCTCTTAAATGCTCTATTGCAGCGCATATTGTTTTGTTATACAATTTTTTTTCGGTTGCTTTTGATGGCCGGCCGTAGCTCCAGCGTTAGTGTGTCGATCTGCAGAGCGGAAGGTACTGGGTTCGATCCCCAGCCAGTACGGTCGCTTTATTTATTTAAATAAAAATATTTATTTATCTAAATTGAGCGACCAACGAACCGCCACCTCAAGGAAGGCAATGGCAAACCACCTTGAGTATATTTGCCTTGTACAGCCTCTCAAATAGTGCCGTTCGAATTCGGCAATAAACTGTAAGTCCCGTGTACTTGTGAACCACTGATAACACACATCACAAGTACATGCGAGAGGTAGCCGACGCTCTATATAGAGTATGGCACTGTAAGAAGAAGATACAATTCTTTATTGCATTCTATCTAGAGAGCTTTAAAATCTTTTAAATGCAATTATTACATACAAGATGTATTGCAGACCAAATCACAACCGCTGCGCATATCTGAAATAATATGGACATAAATCTGCATAAGAGTTTTCACATCATTGCAAATTATTTAGTCAGGAAAGCAGTAAATGCGGACAAAGCTTTATTGTAAAATATATAGTACCTACATACGATTCATATCAAATAAATTTTAGTTACGTCATCGAGGGCGCGATTTTTAAATTAATTGTTGTCAACTATGGGCATATTCGATTGATATTGTTTTTCGTTTTGACACTTTAGTTTTTTATTATGAGTTTTTAGTTTAAATAAATAGTGCGGTGATACTTTAATGCTTAAAAATGTTTACTAGCAGATCTTGCAGTCGAACATTGTTCTTTTTAGAACCCCTTTTAGTCTCTCTCGCGAAGTGTACAAGATAGTTTAATAGCCGTAAAAAACTCATCCCAACTTTATTAGAATATTTTGAACGGGAAAGCGGTAGTAATGCCCTTTATGTCCCTTAAGTGTTGTTATGAAGGTGAGTTTTGTTGATGTAAATAATAACTGTTTATTTGTTTATAATTATTAATTTATTTTTGTTTCGTAAAAAGTTCCCTAAAGCGGGCAAAGCTGTGTCGGTCAAGCTTAGTCACGTGGCTAAAAGTTTATTTGGTATGAACATTATATATAATTTTTTGAGGCGTTCTAGCTTTACTTTATACGATGCTGGAAATTTAATAAAAAAAATAAAATTGATCAATTTATCATCCAATTTTATATAAAATAGTCAGAAAATAAATATAATCTATACTATTAGCCTCATTTTACCTGTTTAGATTATTATTAAAATTAAAACTGAACAGGCAACACTGGAAAACCATGCATTCAAATGTCTACAACCTAACCAAATCAACCCTTTCGACACTGCGGGGACATATACGTCCCAATAAAGTTTCTATATAGACGAATATCAAAAATACGCTTTAAAATGCATTGGGAAGGGACTATTCAGTGTGGCTTATGTCTTGCTCGCCGAGTTACATACCTTTTAATGTTTGTGTTTACAATGGAACATTGGTAGGCAGTTCTATGTCGACAAGTACACGTGGCTGCTTGCAATTTTGGAGAAAAAACGTGTAAAATAGGTGTGTAAATTAGTGAAAATTACTACGAAATAATGCTCTACCAGCAGTATGAGTAAAAGATAAGTATATAAGTTTTGTACCATAGTTACATGAAAAAAAATGTGTTGCTGGGATGTATTTGTCCGACAGTGCTATAATGAGGGATATAATTATCCCTACAGTGTTGTAATGCTGGATGTATATATCCCTGCAGTATGTACACTATGTAGCTGGGACAAACATGTGCGACATTAGTATACTACGGGATCGTATTTGTCCCAAGATTTCAAAAATGAAAATAAAATATAATAATGGGCTAGATATGTTCCTAGTGCTTCCAACAATTAATTTAAGCAGTAAAATCTGAAAAAAATATTCAATACCTAAAAGTCGTGTCGAAAGGGTTAAGTTGTTGTTATGATGTTATCATTGTCAACATGTTTTATCAATGAAATGTATTATGGTGTCTATACTACTACGTTATAGTATCTACACTAGTATTCTCGAAATGTATTTTTGAAGTAATACTTTTTTACGCGCTTTCTTATGGGAGTAAAACTGAAGGCCGTGATACGGCCGAGACGGGACGCGAGAGAAAAAGTGGTAACGGTGACTTTTTGATCTCGGAGCGTCGTAACTCGGGCCCTATGTGAGCTAGGGGGCTGAAACACGTAATGTGGATGGTGCTCGAAAAGCTCCATCTTTTCATGATATTTTGACGACGTTTCATGGCACTACGAAACCCAAATATCCATGAATCAAATCAAAAAATCCTCCGATTTAAATAAATTTGGTATGTTGATATATTGGACCAAGCCCAACTTTACCGTGTACGACACGTGTCACTGTGACGGTTAGTTTTGACATAGGAAACGTCAAAAGTTGATGTCGTTCGATCGCCACCAAATTTGGTGGGTGGGCTATGTGAGCGACAGTGCATAAGGTTCTACCCTGCAAAGTCTGATACGACGTTTCTTTTACATCTGCATCAAGGTAGGACTAAGGATTTGATATTCAAGAAAAATGTATGGTTCGATTTCGGCATTATTGGGGACGGGCTTCAGGATGACGCCCTCGACGTTTCGAATCGATGCCGATGCCTCTAAATGGACGAAATCAAAAGGATTTTTTATGGGTCGACTGGAACCAAACTCGGCACGTGGATAGAGGTACACGATTGGAGTACCCAGACAAACAAATAGACAGACAGAACTAAGAAGTTTCACTTCAAATATGCGCACATGCGCACATTATGCACACACAATTTTTCCCAATTTAAAACTGGCTTGAATGAGTTAAAAGCCTAATATTTAGTAAAAACAAACAAACAACGCTTTATTTTGCAAAAAGCCAAAACAGCTTCATCGACAAAGCACTCAAAAAACAAACAAAACCCGAAAAAAAAACATACAAACAACAAAAAATACCCAATACAAATCATACAATTCAAAAAAAAAC